GTGAGACGATTTATCCGATCGTACACGAGTGAGCCAGTGACCAGTGGCGAGTAAAAAAACCAATTTGACATGGTGGTGACACGAGACGAAGAAACTGGCGCTCCGCTGCGGAGCCAGAAGCACGAGCGCTGGAGCAGCCGCGACTCCATGGAATGCCGATGAACCTGCTCGGGATGCAACCGGCGAGATACGAGCAGCCGCCAGGGTATTTTTTACCCGCTCCTGAGGTGAGCCGCGTAGGCATGCGGATGCCAGAGGTTCAGCCGTCAACCCTGAACTCTGGTTCAGTATCGTCGACCGGAGTTCCAGCCGCCGGAATCACGGTCGACGCGACTAATTCGGATACGCGCTGACGGCCATCGACCGCGTTATACAATCGAAGTGCGCGATATTATCATGAATCCGCCCGCGGAACGCGCATATGATCCTTTGAAATCGGAATTGATCAAACGGCTCAGCTTGTCGCAGGAGCACAAAACACGGAGACTCCTCGAGCACGAGGAAATCGGAGACCGAAGCCGTCGCAGTGTCTTGCGGCACCTGCGCGGTCTCGCCGGAAGTGCCGTGGGCGACCAGATTTTACGAACGATCTGGCTGAGTCGGCTGCCGGCGTATATACAGCCGCATTTAGTGACGCGAACCGGGGACACGCCAGAACAATTAGCGGACATCGCGGACGCGATAATCTCGTCGAGACCCGGGCGCCGGTGTTCCAAGTAGCGGAGGCAGCAAGAGCCGTAACGCCTCAGGGACAGACGCAAGTGATCCCGCGTCTCTGGAGGCGAAATTCGATGTGCGCCTGGCGCAATGCAGCTGACAATGCAGCGGGAGATCGCGGAGCAGATGGCGGCAATCCGAAAATCTATCGAGCGATCGGCAGCGAGCGCTATCGAGGAGGTCGCGATGACGACCGACGTCGTCCGCGTTCGCGTTCGCGTTCGCGCCCGCGCGCGCGGGGAGGTCGCGATCCGCCGGCCAGTGGTATGTGCTGGTACCACTGGCAATTCGGGCGGACGCTAGACAATGCAGAGCACCCTGCTCGATGCGCAGGGAAACGCGGGGGCCGGTCGCTAGGGCGGCGAGCGACTTAGGCCACGGACGCGACGCCTGTTCGTGACTGACGCGAGCTCTAAAGTGACTTTTTTAATCGACACGGGTGCGGATCTCTGCGTGTACCCTCGAAAGATGGTTCGAGGTCCCGACAGAGATCCACCTACGAACTTTCGGCCGCCAACGGTACAACGATGTTTACTTACGGGACGGAAACCCTACAATTGAATTCGGATTACGACGGGCGTTTTCGTGGCGGTTTCGTGGTCGCGGACGTCTCGAGACCGATAATCGGCGCCGATTTTCTGGCGCCTACGGACTCCTGGTGGAACCTACGCGGGTCGCGTCTCATCGACCAAGTAACTAGTCTAACCGCGCGTGGACGTTGCATCCAGTGTGATGCACCCAGCGTAAAGACAATTACGGGAGAGACTCCATACCACCGATTACTGGAGCGTACGCAGATATCGCGAGGCCAGACGGGCGTCCGGGAGGCGCGATCCACGCCACGCGGCACTACATAGAGACGACCCCGGGACCGCCCGTCGCGTGCAGACCGCGAGACTCGCTCCGGACCGATTGGCGGCGGCAAAACGTGAATTTCGGAAAATGGTGGAAGCCGGGGTCGCGAGACCGTCGAATAGTTGCTGGTCGGCTCCTCTGCACATGGTGCCGAAGAAAGGAGAAGAATGGCGACCCTGCGGCGACTACAGGGCATTAAATGCGCGAACGATCCCGGATCGCTACCCGGTGCGACATATACAAGATTTCGCGCAGGCTCTCGCCGGAAAGACAATTTTTACAACGTTAGACTTGGTACGCGCGTATCACCAGATACCGGTGGCAGAAGGACGTGCCGAAGACAGCAATAACCACGCCGTTCGGCATGTACGAATTCCCGTACATGTCGTTCGGCTTACGTAACGCAGCGCAAACCTTTCAGCGCTTCATAGATGAAGTTCTGCGCGATTTTGATTTCTCCTACGCGTACATTGATGACATCCTCGTCGCGTCATCCTCGGAGGAAGAACATCGCGAACATCTGCGGATGTTATTCGAGCGTCTACGAGAATACGGGGTTATCATCAACCCCGCGAAGTGCAAATTCGGCCAGAGCAGCGTGGAATTCCTCGGATACGAGGTGTCCGAAGGAGGAACTCGCCCGCTGCCGACGCGAGTGGAGGCGATACTGACGATGCAGTCGCCGAGGACGGCGAAAGAACTCCGAAGATACTTGGGCATGGTAAACTTCTATAGGAGGTTCATGCCCAAGGCCGCCGAAATATTGACGCCCCTGAGCGACCTTCTGCAGGGAAATATCAAAGGAAAGGCGACAATATCGTGGACGGCGCGGGCTCAACAAGCATTCGAGGCATCGAAGACCAATTTAGCCGAGGCCGCCCTTCTGAGACACCCCAGGGCAAACGCGGAGCTCGCATTGTTTACCGACGCGTCCGAACAAAGCATCGGCGCGTCATTACAACAACGAGGCAGTGACGGCTGGGAACCCTTAGCGTTTTTCTCGAAAAGGCTAAGCCCAGCCGAAACGAAATACAGCGCATTCGACCGAGAACTACTAGCAATTTACCTGGCGGTGAAGAACTTTCGGCACATGGTGGAAGCCCGCACGTTCGCAATATACACGGACCATAAACCGATAATATACGCATTCCGCCAGAAGCCTGAGAAGAGCACGCCGCGACAATTCCGCTATTTAGATTATATCGGACAGTTCACCGCCGACATTCGACACGTGGCGGGCGTAGAAAACGTCGTGGCCGACGCGCTATCGAGGATAGAAAAGCTCAACTCTCCCCTGGATTACGCCGCGTTGGCGGAATCGCAGGAGAAGGACGAGGAGATTGAGAAATACTTGCGGCGAGAGTCCGGCCTGAAACTCAACAGGATAGAGATTCCCGGAACCGGGAGAAAAATTTATTGCGACACGACAACAACGATACCACGACCGTTTTTGACAAGGCCTTTTCGCCGGGCCGCATTTGATCTGATACACAATTTGGCGCACCCGGGTATTAAGACGACGGGCAAGCTCGTGGCACAGCGCTACGTTTGGCCGTCTATGAACGCCGACTGCCGGGTCTGGGCTCGAACATGTGTGCCCTGCCAACAATCAAAGGTATCACGACACGTGTCAGCACCGCTCGGAACAATTGCTGCGCCATCCAGCAGATTCGAACATATTCACCTGGATATCATCCTAATGCCAGTCTCGGAGGGCAAACGATATTGCCTGACGTGTGTGGATCGCTTCACACGATGGCCGGAGGCGTTCCCGTTGCGAGACCAGGAGGCAGAGACGGTTGCGAGAGCCTTCTACGAAGGGTGGATATGCAGATTTGGAGCACCTCTACGGATCACGACGGACCAGGGCCGTCAATTCGAGTCCAGGCTTTTCCGGCGGTTGAGCGAGCTTACGGGAGCGCGCCACCTAAGGACGACGGCGTACCATCCGCAGGCGAACGGGATGGTCGAACGGTTTCACCGACAACTAAAAGCAGCGATCAAATGCCAGCAGAACGACCGCTGGACCGAGGTGCTGCCGACGGTGTTGCTCGGGATCCGAGCAGCCTGGAAGGATGACCTGCGAGCGACCGCGGCCGATATGGTATACGGCCAAACGTTGAGGATTCCGGGGCAGTTCCTGAATCGGCGACCGACGGAGGACGAGGACGACGCCGCCGATTTTGTCGGAAATCTGCGAGAGCAATTCGAGAAGCTGCGACCTGTGGATGGGACCCGACACGGCGAACGACGACCATTCATATACAAAGACCTGGCGACGGCCGAGCACGTATTCGTTCGACACGACGGGCCGAGGACGATGCTACAGGCGCCGTACGAGGGACCATTCGCAGTGATCAGCCGCAGCGAAAAGATCTTTGTCGTGCGAATGCACGGCAAGAAAAAAACGGTCTCTATAGACCGCATTAAGCCTGCTTATATTTTACAGCCCGAAGCAGAAAACAGCAGCTCAGCAGGGTCGGCGACACGGAGCCGAGAGGGTGCGGTCGACGGACGAACAGCGCGAGATCAGGACACCGAGGTCGAGCGGCGAGGCGCGCGAGAGGACGCGAGGCCGCTGCCCCGAGTGAGCGAAAGGACGACACGAACGGGAAGGAGAGTCCGATTCCCGAGTCGGTTCCAGGCGGGACTGTAGCACCGAGGAACCTGGACGCAGATCGCGAAGTCGTGAGGAATCCCCGCGCATATGTATATATATGTAAAAAAAAAAAGGAGTAAATATACGGTTCGCGGTTTTGTTAAATTTTGACGGTTGTTTGCGATAAAATTTTATACATAGTAACATTGACAGAAGTCGCGAAACGAAAGAAAACGAATGCGGCGCGTACCGGAAATGTGTATAGATATTCTGTTTTTATTTTTTTTTTATTTTGTAAAAGTAAATTGACGAATCTCAGACCGAGAACGACGGGCGTTAGCGCAACGATAAATAAATTGAGATTTTTTTTTTGTATGTAGAGTACAGCATATCATTATGTCATAGTATTTGGTTTTATATGCTTCAAACGTATCATGTAACGGCGGAAAATTGTAATTCGTCTCGGTCTGCCATCGGGAAAACTATTGCAGGAACGCGCAGTGTTCAAACGATATCGTGCTATCGGTATAGCACTGGCGGGGGAGTACTGTGGCGATTATATCATCACATGCTTCCCCAAAAATATTAGCAAGAGAAACACGTATACGAATACGGACACTCACGCATACGAAAAGGATAGAGAGACAAATAAACATAAATAGAAATAAATATAACAGACGAGACGAAAGACGAAAAACATCGTGACGTTAGAGACAAAGAAATTAAACATAGAAAAAGTTCGCGAAGCCTCTCGAAGCCGATCGAAGGGCGTTTTGAGGCGAACGAGAAGTAGAATATTTTTACATGCGAAAGGAGAGTTCGCTACCGATAGTCGCCGCGTACAGTCACACTATATCCGCACGGTCTTTCTTTATATATTTCTGTATCGAAGTTTAACGTGTGCATTTGAGAAATATATTAGTGATATCAGCAAATACTCTCTCTCACATCATCATTAAATTCCCGTCTCGTATCGTTCCTCCAAATTCATCGCGACGCGCGTAATAATTACCAAAACAAAATTAAGTGCGCGGACGCATTCCGAATGTTGACTGTGGCATATGGTGAAGCTACCTTGGACCGAAGCAACGTTTATCGGTGGTACAAAATGTTTTCCGAGGGCCGAGAAGATGTGAACGACGAAGAGCGTGCCGGACGCCCGAGCACGTCAACAACAGACGAAAACATTGATGAAGTGAAGAAAATAGTATTGGTCAATCGTCGAATCACCGTTAGAGAAGTTGCTGAGGACCTAAACATATCGATTGGCTCGTGCCATTCGATTTTTACCAATGATTTGGGCATGACACGAGTCGCCTGCTCACACATCATTGCTTGTGCGCGAATTTTTGGCCAAAAACAACACACTAGTAATGCCGCAGCCACCGTATTCCCCAGATCTGGTCCCCTGTGACTTTTTCTTATTCCCGAAACTGAAGAGGCCCATGAAAGGACGACGCTACGCTACGATTGAGGAGATAAAGACGGCATCGAAGGAGGAGCTGAACAAGATCACAAAAAATGATTTTTTGAAGTGCTTCGAGGATTGGAAAAAACGTTGGCACAAGTGTATAATATCTGGTGGGGATTACTTTGAAGGGGACAAAATAGATATTCATGAATAAATAAATAATTTTTGAAAAAACACAAAATTCGCGATACTTTTTGAACACCCTCGTATAATACATACATATGGCAATATATTTGTGCAGCAATAATAATTGAGGCATTCTATCAAAACAGCAATTATTTCGTATGTGTGTGGTGTGTGATTTCCATTCAGAATTTTATTCAACGTTTTAAAAGTCTATAGACATCGTGCAAAACAAAAATGTACTACAAATATTAATAATACGCATGGTATATGTGTTTTCACATATTTTTCTCAAATAAAGGAAGATTTTTTTTTTTAATTTGACTGACTTGATCTAGTTTCGTTTTTGTCACGATATCGAAGATCATATCTTGTCATTTAAGATATAAAAATACATACATTATACTTTCATCAAGATTGAATTGAATTTTGTGGTAACTATTTCAAAGTTAATTCATTTTAGCGATAGATTGTCTTTTATAATTCCTCATCTAACAGAATGTATTAAAATGTATAAGTCTAATTTGCTAAAAAACTAATCCCAAGTTTATTATAAAATTATAAGGATAATTTTGCGCGATCGTAATGTATTTCTACATTTCGCTACATTTTAAGCTCATTATTTTTATTCGGTCTACCAAGGAAAAATAATGAGCTTCTTTACAAATAGTTAATCGCGTTACAGATTTCCGTTTCACTATCACATCCGGCAGTTGCAAATCCCGTATGCATCGCGCAACTTGCGGGTCTCTAAAAGCGAGCGGGGAAAGAAATAGTTCTTTGCGGCACTTGTGCTCGCTTCTCCGTGCATTTTATCGCGCAACTACTTGCTACTGACAGGCCGGTCCAGAAAGAGGTCACCATCACTAGCTAGCATCGCGCCGCTCTCGTCCTCGCTACCTTCATTTCTCGGCGCCTCTCTCCTTCTCTCTTTCTCTTTCTCTCTTGCTCTTCAGCTCTCACGAAACCACATGCGCGAGCGTTGCACTCACCGATGCAACTCTACTCTCCGCTTCTCTCCACGCGGCCTAGATATTTTCGCTAAAGTACGCGGCATCGCATCAAAGGCGTGTATGCGAGAAGGTACCGAGACGACAAATTAAAGAGAGAAACAAAGAAAGAGTATCGGTATATTTATTATTCCGTAGTGAGAGCAAACAACATGACAAATATTGCATTTGATGTGCATAAGATTAAATATTAAAGACGAGAAATTTAATGTAATTAAACTACAATCGTGCAATGAATGAATGAATGAATGTGAAAAAGAGAAAACGATGGATGTTTAAAATACACAAGTATATACATTTTACATTAACAATTATATTATAGAATAATAAAAGAAGAATAAAAAAAAAACATTTAATATATAAATAATATCTATAGCTGTCATATCGTTTTTGTGAGGTACATTTAACAACACGAAGAGGAAACGTATAGAGGCAAAGAACTGTGAGAAAGCTGGAAATGTAGAAGGAGAAAGATGTCAAGGGGAAGAGGATGAAGTGGAAAAAAATCCTTTCATCGAGAAACACGCACTACGCGTTTCCTCCCTCTATATATTTACCATTCTCTCTCTCTCTGTCTCCTTTTCATTCGCGTAACCTTTTTCCCTTTCTCGTCTACTCGCGTAATTTCCGGGGAGATAGAGCTTGTGTTTCAAGAACGCATTCGTCGGTTTTCCTCTCGCGTGCGTGTGTCACGCTTCGTACGTGCGCGCCTCTCGAATGCACACGCGGGCGTATCTCTCGATGCACTTGGCGCGGGCGGGTTTCATCGACACGACGATGAGGACTCGTGGGTTTCGCATGAAACACGCATGCAACACACACGACGCGAGAGAGAGAGCGTGCTTTTTATCCGATTATCGTGCGTCTTCTCTCGTGCGTTTCCCGCGCGTTACTCTTTCCCGGAGAAAATATACGGCCCCTGCTGTCTCTCTTTTCACTTTTTCCTCCTTTTTTTCCTCGACGAAAACGAGATCTCGCCGCGCGGCGAAGATATATCTCCGCTCTGCGTCGCTGAGACTCCATTTTCGGGCTCGCATAGAACGAGCACGGCCTTTGTTCCTCGGTAAAATGACGGAGATTTTTGTGTAAATAACCCAACGTTGTATATATACCACGTTGAAAGCATTCTTCTGTTATCGTCGTTTCGACGTGCACAGTTGCGTTCTGCCCCGTAAATTATAATCGACGTTGTCGGCAATGTATCGTATATATGTCCGAATGGCACGCAATAAATACTATACGATTATTGCGAAACCGCTTTATTGCAGTAGATATCGAGCTATAATAGACACGGAAATACCAAGTTAAATGTGTTAGGTATCTACTGAAATGTCAAAAATATTTTGATTGCATTTTAAAGAATAATGTAAAATCGTGGTAGGATATTTTTTATTTAATTTATTAATACATTTTGTGTATAATTATTTCGGATCAACGTTAAGAAATTTAATTGCAAAAAAGACTAAACAAATTGATAAACATTTCTACTTATACATATATATATATATATATATTATTCTCTAGCATTCGATTGAATAGCAGCTCAAAAATGCCACTGCGCTTCCTTTCGCGCATTCGAGAAGTTCTACTTGGTTGCGCGCGGAATGAATAAGAGCAAAACTAATGACGCAGCGAGAGAGATTTGGGACGGTAACGGTTCCACGGGCACTGCTGAATAACTGTCAGTGTCGGTAGCGTGAAATGAGGAAAGAGCGTCGACAAGAACGCGGACTCCCGCGAACTCTTGTCGTCTCTCGTCTGCATTCGTGATGCAACGGCTGCATCCTTTTAGCGCGCGCGCGACGTGGAGATCGCAGAAAGAAAATTTATTTATTAGAAAAAAAGAGAACGTAAAATATAGAGCTACGCGATCAAACTAAATCGTATTATTCAGAAAACGTTAATGAACTTTTTTTTAGATTAAAGGAGATAAAATTTCTTAATTTTATATTATTTTTTTTATATGATTTTTGAAACATCAACTTTAGTTTTATAATCTTTTATCATAAAGCTGCTATGATGCGCATTTTCAGGATTATTCTGGAATGAATGACGGTTTTACTGTGATTTAATAAAGTATCCTATTATTGTTATTTATTGCATTTATAAATTCATGATTATTTTTATTCTAACTGTTTAGGATTAAGAGAGTATTATATATCGAAATATGTTAATCTCGTGTAAATAGATAACTGCGATGCGATGTATCATGTGTCTGTATATTTTAATGTAATGCCTTTATTTTTCATCATGATATTTTTTGTCGAAATTACACTAAATATTTTACGCTCGTCAACACTGAGAGTGTTTACTTGCAAAGCAAGGTATAATTATATCGTTTCACGCATGTTGGAAAAATTTTTGTTCCACTTGTTGATTCGACT